TACGCACTGGCATGCTTGTGGGCCATCGTTCTGGGGATGTGAGGTGAGGAGTGGAACAAGGGGGATGTGAGGTAGGGAGGAGGGGGATGTGAGGTGAGGAGTGGAACAAGGGGGATGTGAGGTGAGGAGTGAAACAAGGGGGATGTGAGGTGAGGAGTGAAACAAGGGGGATGTGAGGTGAGGAGTGGAACAAGGAAGATGTGAGGTGAGGAGTGGAACAAGGGGGATGTGAGGTGAGGAGTGGAACAAGGGGGATGTGAGGTGAGGAGTGGAACAAGGGGGATGTGAGGTATGGGCGGAGTGAGGAGGGGGATGTGAGGTAGGGAGGAGGGGGATGTGAGGTAGGGAGGAGGGGGATGTGAGGTAGGGAGGAGGGGGATGTGAGGTAGGGAGGAGGGGGATGTGAGGTAGGAGCGGAGTTGACGGACGGATTGATCATTTTTTGAGACGTCTAAAAAACTTATTCATATCACTTTGGTCATTTTTTGAGGGGTCTCAAAAGCTGACTCAGATCACATTGGTCATTTGTGTGTCAGGTGAGGAGTTGCAGTGCAGAGCGTGTGATGCTGAGAGGATTTTTGAGTCGACTCAGAAACCGCCTCATGGTGTGTTTTGATTTGAGGCGACTCAGAAACCGTCTTATGACACGTGATGGTGTATCGTACATAGATCCTCATACTTTTGCCTCTTTACATCTCTGTTCCCAAGAAGCCGTCACTCTCTCTTGATATTGCTCCCCTCTTTCCTCTCTCACACACCATCTTGCCTTGTTCCCCAACAGCCTTCTGGAGCCCACGGATCATGAAGACACTCCATGTTTTCCGTTTTTCCTGTTTCCTCTCGCATGCCATGCCATCCCACCCTCGCTCCCCATCAGCCTTCTGGAGCGCACGGATCATGAAGGCCCTTCATCCGAGCTGCCTACCTTCACTTGCCCATCCCTGCCCCATCCCTGCCCCATCCCTGCCCCATCCCTGCCCCATCCCTGCCCCATCTCTGCCCCATCCCTGCCCATTACACCCTCGCTCCCCAACAGCCTTCTGGAGCTCACGGATCATGAAGGCCCTTCATCCGAGCTGCCCCACCGCACTCGTCCCACCGCCCACCAGCACCACATGCCGTGGCTCCTCTCCACGGGCAGCACCATCTCCAGATCCGGGCAGCACACTGAAACTCTCGACCTGCCCGGACCGTCTCCCCCTCCGGCTTTTACTAGCTCGCACTCCCTCTTTCTGGGGTCGGACGTCACTGCCATTCGCACAATTCCTTGGGGCAGCAGAGCGGTTGGTGGTGATGCTGCTGCTGCTGGCAGCCTTGCAGTGTGAGTGGGAGGGGAGGGAGAAGGGAACGCAGGGCGGTAAAGTACATTACGTTGGGGTTGGGGACTATGAAGGTCATGGTCACGGCCATGCCATGTCAAATTCACCCACTTCCTTGGGTTTGTGTGCTGTTGGTAGCTCTACAGTGTGAGTGAGTGGGCTGGGGATGGGGTGTGAGTGGGCATGGAAAGTGAGTGAGGGGTGGGCTGCTGTGGTGGTGCTCACAGCCTCACACTCCCTCTATCCGAGATCCCTCATAACTGTAACGAGCTGCCCTTTTGTCAAGTCTAAAGTTTCCTTCTCCCCACTCCCATTCCGTCCCATCCTTCCCAGCATCACAACTCTAGGTTCAGGGGGGCACCCGGCCCGAGTGGTGGTGGCTGCACTTGACCTCGCAGGCTCTTCTGGAGCAGGCACAACTGGGGGCGGCGCAGGTGCTGCAAGAAGGGGAGGAAATGGTGGCGCCGCTTCTACTTTTGCCTCTGCTGCTGGTGTCACGAGTGGTGGTGGTGGCAGGGGCAGGAGAGGGAGCAGCAGGCAGCGACTTGGTTGGCGGATGGAGGGGCAGTTTGTGTCGCATGGCAGCGTGTGGGCATGTGAATGCTCGCCAAGGCAAGGGGAGATCGGAGTGGGTGAGTGGGTGAGGAGGGGAGAGGAGAGAGGACTGAGTGAGGAGGGGAGAGGAGAAAGGAGGGAGGAGAGAGCAGAGAGGAGGAGGGAGGAGATAGGAAGGAGGTAAGGCTATCCGGTTCGCATGGCAGTGTGCGGGGCGTGTAAATGATCGCCTCGGCAGGGACGTGATAAAAGAGAGTTTTTGTGGCGTTTCAAAACGTGATAACGATATTTTTTTTAGACGTCTCAAAAACTCTCTTCTATCACGTGTAAATGCTCGCGTAAACAGGGGGAGATCAGAGCCGGTGAGTGAGTGTGTTACTCAGGCGCCTCAAAGTGTCACTGCTTAGTATATATTGAGAGCAGTCTGGCTTGATAAAGATGCATATGTTGCAGCATGTTCGGTACAGATGATTGCTTCTATGTGTGTGTCTCCTGCCTGCCAGGCACCTCCCTGGGAGCACAGCTACTGCAAGTGGAGACGGGGCAGCGGACGGCCCTGTGCCACAGCAACAGTGACGTGCTGGCACTGCAGATCACAGGGAAGGTGAGACACGGGGGAGGTGAGACACGGGGGAGGTGAGATGCGAGGGAGGTGAGATGCGAGGGAGGTGGGATATGTATGGGGGAGGTAGGATGTGCAGATTTTGCATGTGGAGACAGGGCAGCGGACAGTCCTGTGTCACAGCAACAGTGACGTGCTGGCGCTGCAGATCACAGGGGAGGTGAGATGCGAGGGAGGTGGGACACGGGGGAGGTGAGTCACGGGGGAGGTGAGATTGGGGGAAGGTGAGACACGGGGGAGGTGAGATGGGGGGGAGATGAGACATGGGGGAAGTGAGATGGGGAGGAGGTGAGACACCGGGGAGGTGAGATGCAGGGGAGGTGAGACACGGGAGAGGTGAGACGGGGGGTAGGTGAGACACGGGGGGGAGGTGAGATGGGGAGGAGGTGAGACCATACCATGGAACCCCCCCCCCCTTCCACACGACCCCACACCCCCCCACCCTCCCTTTCCCCCCCCCCCCCCCCTCCCCCCTCCTTCCCCCCTGCCCCCTGTTCGACCCCAGGGCAGCATCTATTTGGCTGGTTTCCGCAATGGCGCCATTGCCACCATCGACACTCGTGCTCCCCTGCCCACCTCGTGCTCGCAGCAACCACCGCCGCCGCTCTCACACCCGCGTCTCTCACACTCACGTGTCTCGCACTTGCCACTCTCCCAACGACCGCTTTCACACTCCTCCTTCTCGCAGCCAGCTCATGGCCAGGCAGGAAGAGGGGGGCAAGGCGGAGGCAGGAGGGGCAAGAAGGGGGGAGGGGAGTGGAGAAAGCAGGGAGGAGGGGAGTGGAGCAAGAAGGGTGCAGCAGGGGAGGTGAATGAGTACTACTGCAGCCACCAGCGAGTCATGCGCATGCCCTCTGCTGTATCTGGGTATGTTTGGCCTCTGCCCTCTGCTCTGCTGTATCTAGGTATGTTTGCCCTCTGCCCTCTGCTCTGCTGTATCTAGGTATGTTTGCCCTCTGCCCTCTGCTCTGCTGTATCTAGGTATGTTTGCCCTCTGCCCTCTGCTCTGCTGTATCTAGGTATGTTTGCCCTCTGCCCTCTGCTCTGCTGTATCTAGGTATGTTTGCCCTCTGCCCTTTGCTCTGCTGTATCTAGGTATGTTTGCCCTCTGCCCTCTGCTCTGCTGTATCTAGGTGTGTTTGCCCTCTGCCCTCTGCTCTGCTGTATCTAGGTATGTTTGCCCTCTGCCCTCTGCTCTGCTGTATCTAGGTATGTTTGCCCTCTGCCCCTAAGTATGTGTGTTCACCCTCTAGTATTACTGCAGCCACCAGCGAGTCATGCGCATGGGCATGTACATTTGCCCTCTGCCTTCTCAAAGTATGGGCGCAACCCCTTGCCCTCTGCCCTCTGCCCTCTGCCCTCTGCCCACTTGCTTTGCCCTCTGCCCTCTGCCCTCTGCCCACTTGCTTTGCCTTCTGTCCTCTGCCCTCTCAAGTCGTGTATGCCCTCTGTTGTGACAAGGTAGGGGTTATTCTTTATGCAGCACGCATGTTGTGACGCTGTGTGCTTGCCCCCCTGTTTCCCTCCCTTTTTCCCATGCATGGTGCATGTAATATGGCACAATCCACATGCAGCATGCAGGCAATGAATCAGAGTGATTTCTACCTCTTTGCATCCTCATTCGATGGATCCGTAAGTCCCCACGTCTGCTCTGAGCCACTTCCACCTTCTTGCTCAATATGGGGGGCACACCACTTTTCCCTCCTCGTTCTCCTCGCTTTATCGCCCTCCCTGCAATGCCATGTATCTCATAGTCACAGCCCCATGGTAGTTGTTTCAATAGGGCATGTGACATGTCTTTTGAGTCGATTCAAAAGTCACCTCGAACCGCCCAGTAGTCCTTGTTGGAAGGTGACTTTTGAGTCCGACTCAAAAGTCACCTAGTCACAGCCCCATGGTAGTTGTTTCAATGGGGCCTGTGACATGTCTCAAAACTTGTCCTCATGTGTCTCATATGGTCATCCCCCATGGCATTTGTCTTGTGGGGCCCATGAATGTCTCAAACTTGTCTCGAATCTTGTCCTCTTCCATGGGGATTTACTTGTCCTCCTCCATGGGGATTTACTTGTCCTCCTCCATGGGGATTTACTTGTCCTCCTCCATGGGGATTTACTTGTCCTCCTTCATGGGGATTTACTTGTCCTCCTCCATGGGGATTTACTTGTCCTCCTTCATGGGGATTTACTTGTCTTGCTATGGCCATTCCCCCATGCCAGTTGTTCCAGTGGGACGTCCGCTCCACGGCATCGCCTCTGCGCCAGTTGCAGGGGCACATCAACTCGCACCTCCGCCTGCCACTGCTGCTCGACCCTTCGGAGAACATCCTTTGCGCACGTAAGGCAGGAATATACGTTAGTAAAATCGTGCCTCCCCCCCCCCCCCCCCCCCCCCCCCCCCTCCTTTTTTTCTCTTTCTTTTCTCTTCTTCTGTGTTGACATTTTCTTGTGTCTTGAATTGTTTTAAGTTCCAGCACTCTGATCCTTTTTGCAGCTGGAAATGACTCAATGGTTCGCATCTGGAGTGTATCAACTGGTGCATTGCTGGCAGCTGCTCGCCTTTCTGACAACGCAACTGCAGTAGCTTGGCCAAGCACACATGGTATGTGGTTTTGTGTTATGGATGCGTCCATTATCCCTGCATTTGCGTTCATATCTGTTCGATTAACTCTTATATTTGTTTCCTGCTTGCAGGTTCGGAAAACGGTTTGTCTGATTTGGCGGATGGTATTTTTCTTGGTACATACGAGTCTTTGTGCTTCTTAGACGTTTCACTCTAATAAGCCAAAGCTGAATTTTGCTATGCAAGTTCCACATTCAGTCAGAACCAGTTTGCAGCGAGGATGCGCGTTGTGGTGAGTGTACCCGCCAGCATACCCCCACGTGGCATGGTTTTTAGCCACTCGTCTCCTCCGCTCAGCCTGAAGCTTCGACAACATCCAGCCGTTCGTGGCACTCCCAAGGGACCACCTCTCCCTCCCGACTCCCCTTTCGCTATCACAAATTGCTCCCCTGCTGGGAATTTTCCGTGTTTCGAGTCACGTCATCCTCTAGTATTTGCGATGGCGCTGACGTGGTGCTTCAGAGTGTCGAAATTTGGAACCACGATTTTGGAGAAGGTGGGTGACAGGTTGTGCAGACTGTGGGAATGCGTTTCCATGCGGTGCACCGCGGTGTCGTTCTTTCAGTGTTCACACTGAAGGAATTTACAGTGCAGTATACCAGATGGTCATAGAGTTCTGCTTCTGCTAGCTTTACGAAATCGTTAGGCTTGTAGCCTCACGTCGCGGACCGTAGTTCGTGACGAGTGCAACAGATGATATAGCGGCTACTCTAACTGAGCCTTTTATCACGGAGCCGCGCTTATCGCTCCATTAAAGTCGCTGTAGAAACCCGTTTGCCGGGCGACGGATTGTTTATTGGTCCAACGTTGCCTAGTAGCTGGTGACAGAGCACACGCAGCTTCGCATTGCCAGCTGTCGCTTCACTCGTTCCTAGAAATCATGCTTCTGGAAACCTGAGGAACAAGATTCTCTCGCCGCATTAGACCGCTCGTTGCCGTGCAGACGATATCGGCGGGTAGTTCAGTTACCACATCCCGTTTCCGTCGCAAAACCTTTTGATCGCCTGAGCAGCCATGGCACTCACGGCTTTGCACCAGTCGGCCTCGTTGCGTGCAGTCCGTCTCTCTCCATCTTCCTCTTCCGAACGCCACGTCAGCGGAAGCTCTCCCTTAGAATCACAACTTTCGCTTTTATCTGGAACCGCATCTCAGCAGCAGTCCCTCAGCTCTCGCTCTCTCGTCGTTCCCAAGCACGCATGGCAACAGCAGCAGCAGCGGCAACGGCAGAGATTTCTCGGTTCGACGACCGAAACAGCGGCTACGAGGGCGACGACGGTGACGGCGACTTTGGCGTCGGAGAGCGAGGCGGCGAAGGCGGGTGCGACGCCTGCGAGTTCAGGAGAATCGAGGCTCGCGAAGGTAACGTTTCATGCTTCATTTTGCGAAGAAAGTGGAATAGTTTCGAGCGACGGTGATTTGTCGTGAAGGAAGGCGAAAAAGTAGCAAAGAGTAATCAATGTGGGGAATCAATGTTCACCATATCGTATCGCTACGGCAACGAATGCTTGAAACGTGTAACCAGTCTTACGCTTCAACAACCGTGGGTTTCTGAGGAGTAATGAAAACCTGCTCGGAATATAAACCCCGTCGTCCACTTCAACAATGGCATTCTGGTGACGATCTGCTTCAACTTTAAGCGACCTTCCGTCGCCTCTCCTCCCTCCCCACTCCTCGCAACCCCCCCAGGTGCCCATCGAGCGGATCCGCAACTTCAGCATCATCGCGCACATCGACCACGGCAAGTCGACCCTGGCTGACAAGCTACTCGAGACGACCGGCACGGTGCAGGCGCGCGAGATGAAGGAGCAATTCCTGGATAACATGGAGCTGGAACGAGAGCGAGGGATCACCATTAAACTGCAGGTAGGGATACTGTTCGATTGTGTGAGATGACGGTGCGAGCGAGGGAGATAACATTAAGGAGCAATTCCTGGATAACATGGAGCTGGAACGAGAGCGAGGAATCACAATCAAGCTGCAGTATTGACATAAAGGTTGCAGTTTGGGTTATGAATAAGCCCTGGGAAGGGTGCAGGCGCGCGAGATGAAGGAGCAATTCGTGGATAACATGGAGCTGGAGAGGGAGCAATGGATCACCATCAAGCTGCAGGTAGGGTTACTGTTGGGTTGCTTAGTGAGATGACTGGCACGGTGCAGGCGCGCGAGATGAAGAAGCAGTTTCTGGATAACCTGGAGCTGGAGAGGGAGCGAGTGGTTACGATTTAGTTACAGGTGAGGTGACATCAAAGTTGCAGTTAGGGTTATGGAAACACTCCGGGCAGGGTGCAGCCACAATAGGTAATGCATGCAACAATTTCTATGTAACAGTGATTGGAGCGAGAGCGAGGGGTTACCATTAAGTTACAGGTCTGGGGAAAAGAGTAGAGGCACACTGGCAGGCAGGGGCATCATCCTCGCAGAATGCCGTGCGGTCGCTATTGCTGTTGCACGACACCTAGTGGGGGAAAAACACTTTTTTTTCCTTGTTCACAATGGAATGCTGCTTCTGGTGATGTTGCTCTTGCACAACTTGTTACTCACATCCCATCATCCCAGCCCTTGACAAAGAAGCGGTGATGCTGCAATAAGGCCGAAATGACAGCTGCCAGGTGGCAGGCAGTGACTGGTCCGTTGACTTTGACTTGGTCAACGGTCGAGTCCCTGCCTTGGCCTCCCTTGGCTGCCAGTGTGACATGTGCGCACAGCGAGCAAAGGTTGATCCGCTTTCCTCTGAGCTTCTGAGTGAAAAAAAACGGGAGGGGATTGCAGAAGACGCTACTGTTAGTGACGTAGTGGGTTTGTGTGGGCTGGTTGGTTGCAAAGATCGTAAAGAGGAAGGACATGAATTGCTGCCACCTGCCCCTGCCTGCTGCACCCTCTCCCTCTCTTACTCCTCGGGTGGATAGGGAAGAGGGGCGCACGCAGAGGTAGGGCGAGGCGAGCAGAGAGTATGACGTCCGTTACACTTGATATGAGCAACCGACGGCATGATTTTCATGACGACAGAAGGATTAGGTTTTGATACGAAACAGCCTTTCGAGTCCTGGCCGTGGAACCTAGAAGACTGGTTTGAGATGTCTTTGTTATTAGTAGTTTACCAACTGTGGTCACTCTAACAGTCTCTAGAAGAAGCCTTGATGATGACTGGAATGGTTGTTGAGTTCTGGAGTCCCCTTGCTCCTTAACTCCCTCCACCCGCCCACCCACCCACCACCAGTCAGCCCTCCCCTGTCCCTCCTTCTCCTCTCTCCACTCTCTCTCCTCCCTCCAATCACCCCTCCCCACGTCTGCACCACCACCCTTCTCTCTGCTCGTCTAATCCACCTCTGCCGGCAGCATGACAGACACTTAGCCAAATCCGAAGGCCTTCCTGCTCCTCTCCTCCTCTCCCTCCCTTCCCCCCCTCTCCCTCTTCCCCCAAACCCTGAATCCCCATCTTTTGCAATGCCAAAGAGGGGGGTTCAAGAGGAGGGTTGAGAAGGGTAGGGTGGGTGGGGTTTGGGAAGGATGGAGATGGGTGCGGGGAGGTCTGATGACGCGAAAATGGTTGTCCGAGATCAAAGGTGTATGGAAGCCTGGTATTTGCCGCTGGTGGATGGATCCTGAGCAAGAGAGAGTGGGTGAAGTGGAGCGACGTGAGGGGAGTGTATTGTGATTGGGGGTGGAAGGTGGTGTATGGGGGAAGGCGGTGAGGGGGGCTGGCTGCCATGTGTGTGTGGGGAGGGGGCTTGCTTGGGGCGTGCTTGCTTGCAAGCTGCCTGAAGGGAGCCGAGGGTGCTGCTGACTGACTGACTGCATCGTCAGCAGATGATGAAAGAAATCCAAGTCCTCTGAGCTTCTTCCTTGAATGCTTCTGTGTGTGGCTGGGGTTGGTCTTTGGCTGTCTGTGACTGTCTATCAGTCTCTGTCTGTGGCCGTCTAATGCTTGATGCGTGTTTGCTTGCAAATTGCAAGCTGCCTTTAGGGAGCCGAGGGTGCTGCTGACTGACTGAATGCATCGTCGGCAGGTGAAGCAAACAAATATACGTCCGCTGAGCTTCTTCCTTGAATGCTTCTGTGCACGTCTGTGGCGGTCTATGGCTATCGGTGCTTGTTTCCCGAAGCTTGTCTGGATTTCGAGGTGACTTTTGAGTCGACTCAAAAGTCAAACGTCTGCTGAGCTTCTTCCTTGAATGCTTCTGTGCACGTCAGTGGCGGTCTGTGGCTGTCAGTGCTTGTTTCCCGAATCTTGTCTGGATTTCCGTGCTCTAGTGTGTCACCCACCCACACGCCGTTCACCCTGTTTGCTCTGCTTCTTGATTGAAGCGGGTACGTTTGGTTGGTGGGGTCTCTTCGTTCCATTGGAATAATCATGGAGCTGAGCTGACTTGGGTTGGGTTGTTGCAATCGCTCCTTCCTCACCTCACCCCATCCCGCCCGACCCATCCCAACCCCACAGGCAGCGCGCATGAGGCATGTGTCAAGGGTGGACGGCAAGGCGTACTGTCTGAACCTCATCGACACGCCCGGCCACGTGGACTTCAGCTACGAGGTGTCTCGCTCCCTGGCTGCATGTGAGGGGGCTCTTTTGGTGGTGGACGCGTCTCAGGGCGTGGAGGCACAGACACTGGCGAATGTGTACCTTGCGATAGAGGGGAACCTGGAGATTATCCCGGTGAGTTTGAGTTCTACCTAGGACAGGCATAGTAGCTCCCTGGCTGCCTGTGAGGGCGCGCTGCTCGTGGTGGATGCGTCTCAGGGCATGGAGGCGCAGACACTGGCGAATGTGTACCTGGCTATTGAAGAGAATCCGGAGATCATTCCGGTGAGTTTGGCTGAGTCGAAACGGAGTGTGCTGCTTGAATCAAAGGTGTTGTTTAGATTGAGGGTGCTTGGACACAATTATTAGCTGCTCCCTGTGAGGGTGCTCTTCACCGCACCGCCCTTCTCCTCCCCCACTTGTCCAGGTGCTGAACAAAGCTGACCTGCCAGGGGCGGATCCAGAGCTCGTACGGGCGGAGGTGGAGGAGGTGGTGGGGCTGGACGCATCAGAGGCCATCCTGTGCTGCTCTGAGCGCATTCCTGCTCCTCCACAGGCTGTCACGTCCCTCCTTCCATTGTGCACCCCAGGTACTCAACAAAATCGACCTGCCAGGCGCCGATCCAGAGAGGGTGAGAGCTGAGGTGGAGGAGATGGTGCGGCTGGACGCGGCAGACAGACGCCATCCTGTGTTCCGCTCCGCCAAAGAAGGGTCTCCGTGCTCTTCAACGGGCTATTAGTCACCTTCCGTTTCTCCCCATCCTTCTCCTCCACTTGCCCAGGTGCTGAACAAAATTGATCTCCCAGGAGCTGATCCGGAGAGGGTGAGGGCGGAGGTGGAGGAGGTGGTGGGGCTCGATGCATCAGACGCCATCCTGTGTTCCGCCAAGGAGGGCGTGGGCATTCAGGACATCCTCGAAGCCATCATTGCCAAAGTGCCGCCCCCTGCGCCCACCAGAGACCAACCGCTGCGCTGCCTCATCTTCGACAGGTGTGAGGGGTGGGAAGGGTTGGGAAGGATTAGGAGGGGTTCGGATGGATGCACTGCTTCTATCTGTGAGAAAAAGGGCGCCATGTAAAACTTTGTATCTTGAACCCCGAAAGACAGCCGGTATGGTGCCTCATCTTCGACAGGTGTGTGCGTGAGAGAGAGTGATTCTCTGCTGACCAGGAGCGATGCTCACTGGCCGGTTTGTAACATGGCGAGTTCACAACACATGCTGCCCTCTCCTCTCCCACTTGCATGCTTCCCCACCAGCCACTGCAACCCGTACCAGGGCGTGATAGTCTATTTCCCCACAGTGGACGGGGGTGGGAGGTGCGCAAATTCAGACTTTCTGGAACCCCTTTTCTTTTGTCTCCCAACCCAAACTCTCCCGTCCCCTCCCTCTCACAATTGCAGCTACTACGACCCATACCGGGGTGTGATAGTGTATTTCAGAGTGGTGGACGGGGAAGTGCGCAAGGGAGACAGCGTGCGGTTCATGGCCAGTGGCTGTCTCACTTACTGCTTGTCCTCCTATTTTTTCCCACCCTTTCTATTACCCCCCACCAGCTATTATGACCCGTACCGCGGTGTGATAGTGTATTTGAGGGTGGTGGATGGCGAGGTGAGCAAGGGCGGCAGCATGCGGTTCATGGCGAGTGGCTGCCTCACTCATTGCTTGTTGTCCTCCCCTCTTTTCCCCTCCGTTTTACCATCCCTCTCCAGCTACTACGACCCATACCATGGTGTGATAGTGTACTTCAGGGTGGTGGACGGCGGGGTGCTCAAGGGCGACAGCGTGCGGTTCATGGCGAGTGGCTGTCTTGCTCTCTGCCTGTCCTCCTCTCTTTTCCCACTTTTTTCAATCATTCCCCACCAGCTACTATGACCCGTACCGGGGTGTGATAGTGTATTTCCGTGTGGTGGACGGCGAGGTGCGCAAGGGCGACAGCGTGCGGTTCATGGCCAGTGGCAAGCAGTACGAGGTGGACGAGCTGGGGGTGCTCTCGCCCACTCAGATGCCCGTCGACTGCTTGTACGCTGGCGAGGTGAGATTGATCTAGCTGCCTGCTGAAAGCATGATAGGGTGAGGGGTGGGTGCTGATGGGCGAGCAGTGCACTACGAGGTGGACGAGCTGGGGGTGCTCTCGCCCACCCAGATGCCTGTTGACTGCTTGTATGCTAGCGAGGCGAGGCGGGGGATATAACCTGTGCCATGATGGGAGGGTGGTTGGTGTGAGGGGCCGGCGGCTACTCTCTTAACTACCTAGCGGCTAGGAGCCACCATCACCCACGCAGGGGGAGCGGGCAAGGGCGGCCGGCAGCCAAGGAGTCGCTGCCCGGGTACAGGGAAGCGGCGCCGATGGTGTTCTGCGGGCCAAGCATTGCCGCCTTTAACCCAACCATTGAGGGTTGCCGCTCTCCCCTCCCCTCCCTCCCCTCCCACCTCCGCTTCCCTTTTCCTCCCCTCTCCCCACAGGTGGGGTATCTGGCAGCGTCCATCCGCCAGGTGGCAGACGCGAGAGAAGGAGACACAATCATTCATGCAGGAGGAGCGGGCAAGGGAGGGCCGCCAGCAAAAGAGTCCCTTCCCGGGTACAGGGAGGCGGTGCCGATGGTGTCCTGCGGGCCAGGCGTTGCTCTCTCTCTTTAAGCGTTGCTCTCTCTCTAACCCACCCAGTGAGGCTTTCTGCTCTTTCCGCCCCTCTCCCCACCCCTCTCCCGTCTCTGCCCCTAACAGGTGGGGTATCTCGCAGCGTCTATTTGTCAAGTGGCAGATGAGAGGGTGGGGTGGGAGACACCATAACCCACGCAGGGGCAGCGGGCAAGGGCAGCCCAGCGGCCAAGGAGGAGTCCCTTCCCGGGTACAGGGAGGCGGTGCCGATCGTGTTCTGCCCCTTGTCAACCCCTCATCAACCACCCACCCTGCGCCCTTCTGTTCTGCCTGTGGACCCTCTCCCCACAGGTGGGTTATCTCGCAGCGTCCATCCGTCAAGTTGCAGACGCAAGAGTGGGAAACACCATAACACATGCAGGGGGAGCGGGCAAGGGCGGCTCACCCGCTAAGGAGTCCCTGCCCGGGTACAGGAAGGCGGTGCCAATGGTGTTCTGTCTGCGGGCCAAGCCGTTGCTCTCTCTTTTTAAGCCAACCAGTGAGGGTTGCCTTTCCCCTCTTCCGTCCCCTCTCCCGCCACAGGTGGGGTACCTAGCAGCGTCCATCCGTCAAGTGGCAGACGCAAGAGTGGGAGACACAATTACCCACGCAGGGGGAGCAGGCAAGGGGGGCCCACCGGCCAAGGAGGGGTTGCCCGGGTACAGGGAGGCGGTGCCGATGGTGTTCTGCGGGCTCTTCCCCATCGACGCCGACCAGTTCCCCTCCTTGAGAGAGGCGCTGGAGAAGCTGCAGCTCAACGATGCTGCTCTGCAGGTAGGAGGAGGGTGGTTCTTGCATGTGGGTGGGGCTTGCATTTGGGAAAGGGAGGAGGGAGGCGGTGCCGATGGTTTTCTGCGGGCTCTTCTCAATCAACGCCGACCAGTTCCCCTCGCTAAGAGAGGCGCTGGAGAAATTGCAGTTGAATGATGCTGCCCTGCAGGTAGGAGGGGCGAGAGGGGGATGGTTGGAAGAGGGGATGACAGGGACGGGAATTCTGGTGGATAAGGGCCAGCGGGGAGATGAAATGAGGCATTTGTTACATCATGACGGTATTACAGGCATTTTCTGTATCGCTGCCCCTATTTTCCAGCATGGACTCTCCATTGCGTTTACCCCTTCATCCTTTTCGTTCCCCGCCTCATCATCCCCCCCCCCCCCCCCCCCCCCCCCCCCCCCCTCCTTTACGTTCTTCCCCTCATCTGCTCTTCTCTTTCAACTTCTTCTCCACTGTGGCTCAACCGTCCCCCATCGCCTGTTGTCCCCCCCTCTCTCTCTCTCTTCTCACCAGTTTGAGCCGGAGAGCAGCAGCGCCATGGGGTTTGGCTTCCGCTGTGGTTTCCTGGGTCTGCTGCACATGGACGTGGTGCAGGTGAGCTGCACATGGACGTGGTGCAGGTGAGCTGCACATGGACGTGGTGCAGGTGAGCTGCACATGGACGTGGTGCAGGTGAGCTGCACATGGACGTGGTGCAGGTGAGAGAGAGGGCTGCTGCACATGGACGTGGTGCAGGTGAGAGAGAGGGCTGCTGCACATGGACGTGGTGCAGCAGATGTGGGAAAATGGACATTCTGGCATGTGGCTTCAAGGCATTGTGGCATGACGCATGGACATGCTGCAGTGCAGAGAAATTGGTGCGGTCCAGTGTCATGTTTTGAGGCGCCTCAAAACTAGAAATCGGTGCAGTCCGATGTCATGTCATTCCCAGGCAACTCTCTTCCTTTCTTTCGGCTGCCGCACCCCACAGGAGTGGTTAGAGCGGGATTACAGGCCGGATCTGATCACAACAGCCCCCAGTATGGTATACTGCGCGCTGAAGCTTCGCTATGGATATGTTACTATTTTACTGCTCTCCCTCTCCTCTGTCCCTCACAGGAGCGGCTAGAGCAAGATTAGGGGCTGGATCTGATCGCAAAAGCCCCCAGTGTGGTGCACGGTTTAGGGTTTAGGAGCGGCTAGAGCAAGAGTAGGGGCTGGATTTGATCTGATCCGGTGAAGCCTCAAGATGGATGGTTCACAAGTCAAGCTCTCAGCTTTTGACTTTCCTCCACCCTGTGTGCTTACAGGAGCAGCTAGAGCGAGAGTATGGTACGGGTTGGACCTGATCACAACAGCCCCCAGTGTGGTGTACCGTGTGCTGAAGCGGGACGGGTTGGTGGTGGAGTGCTCCAACCCTGCCGACATGAACGGCTCCCGAGTCAAGCACTCACATTCTCCCTCCGCTTCCCCTTTTGCCCTACCTCACAGGAGCGCTTGGAGCGAGAGTATGGTCTGGACCTGATCACAACAGCCCCCAGTGTGGTGTACCGTGTGCTGAAGCGGGACGGGTTGGTGGTGGAGTGCTCCAACCCTGCCGACATGAACGGCTCCTGAGTCAAGCACTCACATTCTCCCTCCGCTTCCCCTTTTGCCCTACCTCACAGGAGCGCTTGGAGCGAGTGTATGGTCTGGACCTGATCACAACAGCCCCCAGTGTGGTGTAATGTGTGCTGAAGCGGGACGGGTGCCTAATGAGCCATGCACTCACATTTTCCCTCCCCCCTCACTTCCTTGTCTCCCCCACAGGAGCGGCTAGAGCGAGAGTATGGTCTGGACCTGATCACAACAGCCCCCAGTGTGGTGTACCGCGTGCTGAAGCGGGACGGGTCAGTGGTGGAGTGCTCCAACCCTGCTGACATGCCCGATGCCTCTGTGCGCTCTGAGATCCAGGAGCCTTATGTGCGGGTGAGTGAGTGTGATGGGGGATGAGTGAGTGTCACATGAAGGGGGATGAGCGGGCTGGCTGTGCGTGAGTGTGGGGCCGAGTGCAGTCCGCCTCCAGGCACTACGCCTGTTCTGGTTGAATGCTGAAGCGGGACGGGTCAGTGGTGGAGTGCTCCAACCCGGCTGACATGCCTGATGCCTCCGTGCGCTCTGAGATCCAGCAGCCCTACGTGCGGGTGAGTGGGTGTGGTGGGGGATGAGTGAAGGTGTAGGGTGCTCCACCACCCACCCATGCCCCACTGACATGCCCAATGCCCCTGTGCGCTCTGAGATCCAGGAGCCTCACGTGCGGGTGAGTCTTGTGGGGCGGTGTTCCAGGTTTTCAGGCAGGTGGTGCATCTGGAACCTTGCAATAACTTTGTTCCACACAACAGCCACCACTCACTGCCCGCCATGCACCACCCACCACCCACCACCCACCTGCCAGTTTTGAGACGTCTCAAAACTCATGCATGCACCGCCCACCACCCAGTTTTGAGACGTCTCAAAACTCATGCATGCACCGCCCACCACCCAGTTTTGAGACGTCTCAAAACTCATGCATGCACCGCCCACCACCCAGTTTTGAGACGCCTCAAAACTCATGCATGCACCGCCCACCACCCAGTTTTGAGACGTCTCAAAACTCATGCATGCACCGCCCACCACCCAGTTTTGAGACGTCTCAAAACTCATGCATGCACCGCCCACCACCCAGTTTTGAGACGTCTCAAAACTCATGCATGCACCGCCCACCACCCAGTTTTGAGACGCCTCAAAACTCATGCATGCACCGCCCACCACCCAGTTTTGAGACGTCTCAAAACTCATGCATGCACCGCCCACCACCCAGTTTTGAGACGTCTCAAAACTCATGCATGCACCGCCCACCACCCAGTTTTGAGACGTCTCAAAACTCATGCATGCACCGCCCACCACCCAGTTTTGAGACGTCTCAAAACTCATGCATGCACCGCCCACCACCCACCTCCCAGACATCTTGACATTTTGACCCCCAAGGAATGCACCTGTACACTCATGGGCCTGGCACAGAACAGACGAAGCTGCTTCCTTTCATGCCTGTGCCCTCTCTACACTCATTTGTCTTCTTCACCCCCTTTCCCTCCCAATCAACTGGAAATCTTAACCCCAAGGATTACATCGGCACGCTCATGGACCTGTGTTTTTTTAGGCTCCTCAAAAATAGGCACGGTCATGGATCTGTTTTTTGAGGTGCCTCGACAAAGCACAGGAGAGCAGGGTCGATGCCATGCTCCTCTCTCTCCCACACCCGCACCCCATAGCCTTCACGCTGCACCCACCCACCACCCACACCCCCAACCCCCCCGCTGGACATTTTGTCCCCCAAGGAGTACATCGGCACCACATGGGCCTGGCACAGGACAGGCGGCGACTAGAAGCATCCAAACTCATATCGGAATAGCTGCAAATCCTGAAGAAAAACGCATGTTCCCCATAGCCCACATGGGCCTGGCACAGGACAGGCGGCGATTAGAAGCACCGCATTTTCCCCATAGCCCGCATGTTCCCCATAGCCCGCATGTTCCCCATAGCCCTCATGTTCCCCATAGCCCGCATGTTCCCCATAGCCCGCATGTTCCCCATAGCCCGCATGTTCCCCATAGCCCGCATGTTCCCCATAGCCCTCATTTTCCCCATAGCCCGCATGTTCCCCATAGCCCTCATGTTCCCCATAGCCCTCATGTTCCCCATAGCCCTCATGTTCCCCATAGCCCGCATGTTCCCCATAGCCCTCATGTTCCCCATAGCCCTCATGTTCCCCATAGCCCTCATGTTCCCCATAGCCCTCATGTTCCCCATAGCCCTCATGTTCCCCATAGCCCTCATGTTCCCCATAGCCCTCATGTTCCCCATAGCCCTCATGTTCCCCATAGCCCTCATGTTCCCCATAGCCCTCATGTTCCCCATAGCCCTCATGTTCCCCATAGCCCTCATGTTCCCCATAGCCCTCATGTTCCCCATAGCCCTCATGTTCCCCATAGCCCTCATGTTCCCCATAGCCCTCATGTTCCCCATAGCCCTCATGTTCCCCATAGCCCTCATGTTCCCCATAGCCCTCATGTTCCCCATAGCCCTCATGTTCCCCATAGCCCTCATGTTCCCCATAGCCCTCATGTTCCCCATAGCCCTCATGTTCCCCATAGCCCTCATGTTCCCCATAGCCCTCATGTTCCCCATAGCCCTCATGTTCCCCATAGCCCTCATGTTCCCCATAGCCCTCATGTTCCCCATAGCCCTCATGTTCCCCATAGCCCTCATGTTCCCCATAGCCCTCATGTTCCCCATAGCCCTCATGTTCCCCATAGCCCTCATGTTCCCCATAGCCCTCATGTTCCCCATAGCCCTCATGTTCCCCGTAGCCCTCATGTTCCCCATAGCCCTCATGTTCCCCGTAGCCCTCATGCTCCCCGTAGCCCTCATGTTCCCCATAGCCCTCATGTTCCCCATAGCCCTCATGTTCCCCATAGCCCTCATGTTCCCCATAGCCCTCATGTTCCCCATAGCCCTCATGTTCCCCATAGCCCTCATGTTCCCCATAGCCCTCATGTTCCCCATAGCCCTCATGTTCCCCATAGCCCTCATGTTCCCCATAGCCCTCATGTTCCCCATAGCCCTCATGTTCCCCATAGCCCTCATGTTCCCCATAGCCCTCATGTTCCCCATAGCCCTCATGTTCCCCATAGCCCTTATGTTCCCCATAGCCCTCATGTTCCCCGTAGCCCTCATGCTCCCCATAGCCCTCATGCTCCACCCACCACCTACCCCCCATCCCCCCCCCACCTCTCACCAGCTGGGCATTTTGTCACTTAAGGAGTACATCGGCACGTTAATGGACCTGGCACAGGAGAGGCGGGGCGCATGAAGCCTTGCTCGCCCCTCCTCCCTCCCTCGTGTCCGCTGCTAAACCCCCACCCCCACCTCCACCCCCACAACTCACCAGCATACCTCTCCCTCACTCACGCTCCACTCACCACCCCACCCCCCGCCCCTCACCGCCCATCAGCTGGACATCCTGACTCCCAAGGACTAAATCGGAACGCTCATGGACCTGGCACAGGAAAGGAGAGGCGGGCGTTCTTGAAGTGTGCATGTTCCCATAGCCCTCACACACCAACCACCCACCACGCACCCACCACGCATCCCCCGTGCCTCACCCACACTATCAGCTGGACATCCTGACCCCCAAGGAGTATATTGGAACGCTCATGGACCTGGCACAGGAGAGGCGGGGCGAGTTTGTGGAGATGAAGTATGTCACCGAGTCGCGCACCAGTCTGTCCTATGACACGCCACTTGGCGAGGTATGCGGAGGCACAGATTGGGGACACTTGAGGTTGGGGACTGACGGGGGACTAGGGGGCAGTGGGGGGGCAGATGGGAGAGTGGATAAGAGAGGCGGGGCGAGTTTGTGTAGATGAAGTATGTGACCGAGTCCCGCACCACACTGTCCTATGACACCCCTCTGAGCGAGGTACGCAAGGGAGGGTGTGGGAGAAGGGGTTGCAGTAGCGAGCTGGGAAGGGCTGCTGGGAAGGGCTGCTAACACAATCCAATTCCCTCTACTTTCTTGCATGTACCTCCCTTGTCCCACCCATGCCCCTCCTATGCTCGCTCCTCCCGTGAACCTCTGCTTATCCCCGCTTTGGTACTCCCATGCACCTCTGTTTTATCCCCGCTCTGGTACTCCCATGCTCCTCTGTTTTATCCCCGCTTTGGTACTCCCATGCTCCTCTGTTTTATCCCCGCTTTGGTACTCCCATGCACCTCTGTTTTATCCCCGCTTTGGTACTCCCATGCTCCTCTGTTTTATCCCCGCTTTGGTACTCCCATGCACCTCTGTTTTATCCCCGCTTTGGTACTCCCATGCACCATTAACCCTCTCTGTGCTCCTTTCATGCTCTTCCCTGGCTTGATCATGGTCCTCCCATACTACACCCATGCGTCCACCGTGCCACGCCCTGGCAGGTGGTGGGGGATTTCTTTGACCAGCTCAAGTCGCGGACCGCACTGCCCCTGGTGAAGAAGGAAACCAAACCATATCCCGTCTCCTTGGTTCCATGTCCCTCCACATGCCCGCCACCCCGTTGTTGCTTTCACCGTGCCACGCCCTGGCAGGTGGTAGGGGATTTCTTTGACCAACTCAAGTCGCGGACCAAGGGATACGCCAGCATGGAGTATAAAGTCATCGGGTATGCTGCTTGTACTGAGTTGGATGGACACGCTAATATTGAGGTCGTATCCCAGCCAAGTGTCAAGAGTGGCTAGTGTCATGACACCAACTCATTCTCGCATGTGATTGGTCCAAAAAAGTCAACAGGCCAATCGCATGGGTTCCAAAGTTCTAGGTTGACACCAGCTCATTCTTGACACTATCCAGGGATACGACCTGAGAACAAAGTTAGTAGGTGTGCACCTTATTCGCTATCATCTGGGCATGTGCTTCAGACTTATTGAGATTCGCACCAAGGGCTGTGCTTATAAGGAGGACAAATTCAGGGTCATGGGATAGGTTCCTTGCCCACCCCACCCCACCACACTGCACCCCATTCCGCCCCACTTACTCTCTCAAAAACCACGGAGGCAACCTGGTGAAGATGGACACTCATGTTACAGCTCCTACCCATCCCGTCCGCCCCACCCCTCCCCATCCCGCCCCACTTCATCCCACCCCACCACACCCCACCTCACTCCACCGCATGGCTACAGGTACCGCAAGAGCAACCTGGTGAAGATGGACATCCAGCTCAATGGGGAGATCGTGGAGCCGTTGTCGGCCATCGTGCACCAGGAAAAGGTGGGTGAGAGCGTAATTTACCCTCTATTGGCCTTTGCGCACCAGGAAATGGTAGGTGAGAAAGTAAAGTACACTCTGCTGGCCTTGGTGCACCAGGAAAAGGTGGGTGAGGGGGTAAAATACACAAACCTGCTGCTTCCTCCTCCACTGCACACATGAAGTGACTGTAACCTAATGTGTGCAAAATTTACGCATCAGGATGCTGTAGTTTCAGCAATCTTCCCATGCTGAGGCTAGCTGCAGAGTCAGACCTTGGTAACCATGTTACGTTTTCCCCTGGTCAGGCCTACGGAGTGGGCAGAGCGCTCACACAGAAGCTCAAGGAGCTCATTCCCCGACAGATGTTCAAAATCCCCATCCAGGTGCGTTCAGAGTTCAGAATCCCCATCCAGATGCCCTCAGTGTTCAAAATCCCCATCCAGGTGCGTTCAGTGTTCACTGTTCATGCAATCCAAATTTCATGGTATATTTGCTCTGTCCTGATGGCCTGTCAAGGTGATGTCCCCTTGTCACCGCACTGTCCCTGTGTTACTTCTCGTGCTCCATTCCTCAGGCATCCATGCATGTCAGATATTTTACTTGTATGTGTGTTAATTTTGAAGTGTGTGAGCCCACTGCACACCTTGCTTCCTCCTGACCTTGTGCTACCTTGTGCGGCCAGGCGTGTGTTGGAACCAAGGTCATTGCAAGTGAAACAATTGCAGCCATTCGGAAAGATGTTCTAGCCAAGTGCTATGGTGAGTGCATTTATGTTCCCATGCATGTCTGTTGATTCTTTATGTTGCGAGCAATAAAATGGGCATGATGGAATGATGTGCTGGTTGCAGGTGGTGATATTTCACGAAAGAAGAAATTGTTGAAGAAACAAGCAGCGGGGAAGAAGAGAATGAAAGCGCTTGGACGAGTTGACGTGCCCCAAGATGCCTTTATGGCTGTGCTTAGGCTTGAGAAGGAAAGCTTGTGATAAGACACTAAGTTGAATATATTCTTTTACAAGCAGCATCAAGATTCGTGATTGCTTTTAAGGGATGATTGCTTTAAAAGAAGGATGGCTTATAAAAGTGTACTCATATCGAGACACTTGATTATTACGAATGGCATATTTTCTCCTGCTTGTACAGCTCACCAGGTCAGTCAGGTATGGAAATGCCTCTGAGCGCCACGGCGAGGCTTGATTCGGTGATGGCTCGGCTGAACCTGCTTCCACATCTCGAATCTCGTTGGCTCTGAGATGGCGGGCAGGCTTCGCTCCCAGCCCCGAGGCATCGCCGTTACGGGAACCTCCCCGCTGCCTGCTTTGGTTCGGTTTGGTTGGGGTAAATCACGGTGGTGGTGGGGTGTGGTGTTTCAACCAAACCGAACCGTTTCGACAGCTAGAATAACCTCTCCGAACCATTTTCTAAGCCTGAAACCGTCTGCGAAGCTATGTTTCCCTTCATATTCCAAAACTCCACCTGAAAATGCACGTCGATGGAAGCATTGTTTTTCACGCTGCCACGCAATTTGAGTAGAATGTAGGAACCACCAGTACTGTGAGCTGTCTCGATGTCGGGTAATACTCCGCCACGAGCACCGACTTGCAGTAAATCCGCTATGTTGACATTGACGCTCCTCGAGACGGCAGGGATGGTTCATGTTACGATAAGAGTCGCTGGAGATCCACATGCGGGAGAACAGGACGTTCTAATCGGTAACGCGTTTCACTAACTCCAGTCCCCCGTGCGGTATCAAAGTTCACTCACTACTGCCTTCCCCGCTTTTTCTCCTCTATCCACGACTAAATCCTGAGTCCTGCTTGCGTTTGGAGCTGTCAAGCGCAGATGAACCGCGTTGCGACAAGCCTTTTGCTGGTTACATGCTCAAGCCTAACCGCCGCCGTCGCTTCAAAATGCGGAGGTCTGCCGGGGATACCTGGTCTGACTTCCACCGCTGGCTGCGGCGCGACGGGCAGCACAGAAAACCTTGGGAGCATCTTAGTCCAAGATGATGCGGAAAGGATTAGCTCCCAGCCGTCCGATCAGCAGCCTCACTTGCCGGCGCAGCGGCATCGACCGTGCGATTGCACGATCAACTCCGCAGGCAGCTCTTTCAGGCGAAGGCTTAGCCAAGCTGCGAAACCGTGCGATTGTGGTTACCATTCTGCTCCCAACCCCCCACGGCGAAAGCGAGAGCCGAGGAGCTCATTAGACATAGCTGCGGAAACGGAAACGGAAGCGGAAACGGAAGCGAAAACGGAAGCGGAAACGGAAACGGAATCGGAAACGGAAACGGAAACGGAAACGGAAACGGAAACCGGGTGGTACTTAGAGGAGCGGTATGCAAAGTGGCGATACTTAAATTGGCGGTACTTAGAGGGCCAGTATTATAAGAGGCGGCAATTAGTGGAATTGACGCCAGTGGAACCTTTGGCGGAGAACCGCACGCGGAGAGTGGACCCTCTGCAGCACTTCCAGTACTACGAGGGCGGGTGGGACCCCAGCAGCAAGTACTACTGGGCGGTACGTTGAATTGGTGTGTTTCCAGAGGTCATATAGGCGGGTGTTACTGCCACGCCTTTCGTGGCTGCGTTAGAGTTTCGTCAGCCTGTTCTTATAGCAAGAGTTAACTCCTGGCGAGAATCGCGGCAGTGGGCGCGAAGTGAACTGCGCCACCTGCTGCTAGCGGCTGAGTGTGTGGTGGCGTAAAGCGGACGTTCTTCTTCTTCTGCTGCTGCTGCTGCTGCTGCTAGCAGGATTCGCGACTGAGAGCGTGACGCAGTCTGCTTTCTTGTCAACTTTGGCGCACGGTCGCTCTCAGTGAGACCCGATTTGTGCCATTGCTCTGCAGTTGCTTGTACGCTTTTGCTCTTTCGTTTTATTTGACCGTTTTTGTTGCAGACGTTCAAGGGAAGCTCCCTCAATGAAATTTCCATGCCAGCTACTCACCCACACTGCCTAGTTAACATCTTTCCGTTGCTTTTATGTGCTACCTTGGGTAAGGGCGATGACCGTTGTTTCACTTTCAGACCTAATATTTATTGCCGTTTTTTGCAGCATCTATCATATTATAAAAAGGTACGTGGTGGTCTCTGCCGTTCCGTGCGATTTCCACCTGAACTGTGTTTCTTTTGTATTTTCAGGAAGTTCAGTGCTGATATATGCGTTGTGTATTCAGCAAAGTTAGTAGAGCCTCTGATGCGAAATCTTCATGAATTGTGTAATATGCAACTATAATACAATTTTTCCAACACACACCTTGATCCTAACATATAAACAAATTTGATAGTTATTTGTGTGGTTGCATGAGTTCTTTGTAGGCAAATTGTTCGTTCCAAATATATGTCATATGCTATGCATTTGATCCTAGTTTGCATTATATAAAATTGCAGATTATATACTAGCCAGTATGGAATTGTAAACAGATGGTGAAACAAACGCGTACTAAAGAGCATGTTTTTGTTACTGAAATTGGTATCTTTTTGGTATGCATTGGTGCTCTACCGTTTACATACTAATCTAACCATACTAAATACTTACGACGCATGCTACTTTATGGTACCCCTAATGACCCATACTATTTGTATACTTCAAGATATGTTGCAAGTATATCTACGTTATGTAAAACGATTCATGAAATTTGAGATGGGGCGGGGATATACGGCCTTGTAGTTGGTGCGGCATGGATCAAAACTAGCGCACTCTCGTCAAGTCAAGTTGGTCTCCCTCCTTCACACTCTTACCCCCCCCCCCCCCCCCCCCCCCCCCTCCCCTCCCCTCCCCACGGCTCCTCAATTCATTCCCCAGTCGGTGGGGTGGGCGGGGATGCACGGCCTCATACTCGGGCCAGCATGGACTTTTGAGACGTCTCAGAAGTCATAGTGGGGCCGGCATGGACTTTTGAGACGTCTCTTGAGACGACTTTTGAGACGCCTCTTGAGACGACTTCTGAGACGTCTCTTGAGGCGACTTTTGAGACGTCTCTTGAGGCGACTTTTGAGACGTCTCTTGAGGTGACTTTTGAGACGTCTCTTGAGGCGACGTTTGAGACGTCTCTTTAGGCGACGTTTGAGACGTCTCTTGAGGCGACGTTTGAGACGTCTCTTGAGGCGACTTTTGAGACGTCTCTTGAGGCGACTTTTGAGACGTCTCTTGAGGCGAATTTTGAGATGTCTCTTGAGGCGACTTTTGAGACGTCTCTTGAGGCGACTTTTGAGACGTCTCTTGAGGCGACTTTTGAGACGTCTCTTGAGGCGACTTTTGAGACGCCTCTTGAGGCGACTTTTGAGACCTCTCCTGAGGCGACGTTTGAGACGTCTCTTGAGGCGACTTTTGAGATGTCTCTTGAGGCGACTTTTGAGACGTCTCTTGAGGCGCCTTTTGAGACGTCTCTTGAGGCGACTTTTGAGACGTCTCAAAAGTCATAGTGGGGCCAGCATGGATTAGAATTAGCATACTCTCGTCAAGTCGGTCTCCCTCCCTCCCGTGCTAATCCTCTCTCCTCCCTCCCCCCCTTATTCCCCCCCAGTCTGTGGCATGGGCGGGGATTTACGGCCTTGTAATGGGAGCGGCATGGATCGTACTCGGTATAAGCATCCTCGCTTTCGCGCTCTGCGCGTGCCTCTTCTGCCGCAAGCGGTGGAAGGAGCGTCTAAACGCCGACCCGCCTCAATACACGCCCTTTCAGATCCGCGTGCCACTTGGCGCGCTCGTATTGGCTGCAGCCTTCATCCTGTGAGTGTGCCACTTGTCACTCTCTTATCGGCTGAAACTGCAACCAACTATCATCATGCCACCCTTGTCTTGCATCCATGTCTTGGCTTCATGCGGTCCTGGTTCAAGCATCAGGACAGGTCACATTCCTTTCCGTTCCTTTCCTTTCTCTTCCTTTCTGTTCTTACTTTTCTCCCGCTCCTCCTCTCCTCCTCCTCCTCCTCCTCCTCCTCCTCCTCCTCCTCCTCCTCCTCCTCCTCCTCCTCCTCCTCCTCCTCCTCCTCCTCCTCCTCCTCCTCCTCCTCCTCCACATTTCCTCCCCCAATCCTTTTCTCGTTTCCCTTCCCATTTCCATCCCCATCCGACCTAATTGTGCAATTCCTTGAGTCACCCAGGGTAGGAGTGGCGCTGCTGTTAGCAGGGGGGATGCAATTTCCACAGCACCTACCGCAGCGCCACGCAATTCACACTCACCTGGCCACCACGATTCACCCAACCCCATCCCCTTCCCCCTGCCCCTTTCCCCGTCTCTTCGATTCGTCCAGGGTGGGAGTGGCGCTGCTATTAGCAGGGGGAGTGCAATTCCACAGCACCTACCTCAGCGTCACGCAATTCACCCTCGCCACCACACAAGCCCTCGTTGGGGCCACTCACAACCTCTCCGCTGCATTGCAACGCTCTGCCAACACCACCGTCTTCAATGTCGTGGTTCCCCGTATGCTCCCCCTCCCCTCCCCTCGCTCCCCCTCCCCTCGCTCCCCCTCCCCTTGCTCCCACTCTCCTTATGCTTTATCACCACACGCTCTCACATGTGTGTTCCACTCACACCCTCTCTCTCGCCCTGCAACGTTCTGCCAACCCAACACCACCGTCTTCAATGCCATGGTTCCCCGTAGGGCCACACATCTGCTCCTTATACGCTCACCCGCTCTCACATGTCTGTTCCACTCACAACCTCTCCGTCGCCCTGCAAGGCTCCGCCCTGCAACGCTCCGCCAACACCACCGTCTTCAATGCCGTGGTTCCCCGTAGGGCCACTCAATCTTGCTCTAATGTCACTTGTCTGTTTCTCAGACAGTCACTCCGTCTACTGTCACGTCAGTTCTACTCACAGCCTCTCTGCCGCGCACACTGCAACTCTCTGCCAATACCACCCTCTTCAATGCCGTGGTTCCCCGTAAGGCCACACATGCGCTCCTTGTACGGTCACTCCCGCTCACATGTTTGTTCCACTCACAACCTCTCTGTAACGCTCCGCCCTGCAACGCTCCCCCCTGCAAGCCCTGCAACGCTCTGCCAACACGACCATCTTCAATGCCTTGGTTCCCCATACGGCTGCACACTCATTCTGAAGAAGTGTTTTGAGACGTCTCAAAACACTTCTTCAAACACGCGACCATCTTCAATGCTTGCCCTGCCCCTGTGTCACCCTCTCCACAACGCAAACCCTCACTCCCTCTGATATCACACATCTGCTCCTCATTCTGTCGCTCTCTCTTATGTCGCACGTCTCTTTCCTTATACAGTCACTCCCTCTCTCCCACACGCCACACCCAGCAGTATCTAAGAAGTGTGTGTGTGGAGTCTTCAGATTACCTCTTACCTCCCTGTCCCCATGTCCCCACCCAGCCGCCACGAAGCAATTAGTGATACAGGGAGAGGTTCAGGTGGAGAGTATGGCTGTTGCAGGTGGCGTTTGAGTCGACTCAAAAGTCAGCTCAGGTGCAGAGTATGGTGGTTGCACTTTTGAGAACTTTCGAGACGTCTCAAAAGTCAGAGTATGGCGGTTGCACTTTTGAGAATTCTCAAAAGTGATTCCCAGCCGCCGCCACGAAGCAAGCAATCAGTGATACAGGGAGTGATTTTTGAGAATTCTCAGAAACCACCACGAAGCAAGCAATCAGTGATACAGGGAGAAGCTCAGGTGGAGTGGAGAGTCTGGCTGTTGCAGGGTATTTTTTAAAATTCTCGTAAATACCCTTTTTGAGAGTTCTCAATAATACCCTGCGGCTGACAGGCGAGAGTAGTGAACAACAAGGAGTCCGAGCCTTCGCATCCCATGTGAACAACAAGGAGTCCGAGCCTTCGCATCCCATGTGATCAACAAGGAGTCCGAGCCTTCGCATCCCATGTGAACAACTCTCATGTGAAGAGGTGACTTCTGAGTCGAGGTGACTTCTGAGTCGAGGTGACTTTTAAGTTGACTCAGAAGTCACCTCGAGAGTAGTGAACAGCTAGGGGTCCGAGCCTTCCCATCCCATGTGAATAGTGAACCCATCCCTTCCCATCCCTTCCCAGCTAGGGGTCCCAGCCTTCCCACCCACTGCATTCCTTGCCCTGTCCCTCCCCTGTCCCTCCCCTGTCCCTCCCCTGTCCCTCCCCTGTCCCTCCCCTGTCCCTCCCTGTCCCTCCCCTGTCCCTCCCCTGTCCCTCCCCTGTCCCTCCCCTGTCCCTCCCCTGTCCCTCCCCTGTCCCTCCCCTGTCCCTCCCCTGTCCCTCCCCTGTCCCTCCCCTGTCCCTCCCCTGTCCCTCCCCTGTCCCTCCCCTGTCCCTCCCCTGTCCCTCCCCTGTCCCTCCCCTGTCCCTCCCCTGTCCCTCCCCTGTCCCTCCCCTGTCCCTCCCCTGTCCCTCCCCTGTCCCTCCTCTGTCCCTCTCTTTTCCAGCCGCCACGCAGCAAACGGTGATACAGGGAGCCGTGCATGCAGATAGCATGGCAGCTGACATTCAAGCAAGGATTGTGAACAGCATTGACCGGCTGGACGGATACGTCAAGATCGTGTGCGTTGGGGGATGGTGGGATGGTTGCGAGATTGATGGCTTGTGTGTTGGGTGGGAATGGTTCGTTGGGTTGGGAGGGAAGGAAGGGGTTGTGAACAGCATTGACTGGCTGAATGGATACGTCAAGATCGTGTGCGTTGGTGCATGCATGCATGGTGGGATGGTGGTGGGATGGTGGTGGGATGGTGGTGGGATGGTGGTGGGATGGTGGTGGGATGGTGGTGGGATGGTGGTGGGATGGTGGTGGGATGGTGATGGGGTGGTGGATGGTGATGGGGTGGTGGATGGTGATGGGGTGGGTGCAAGACCGGCTGGATGGCTACGTCAAGATCGTGTGCGTTGGTGCATGCATACATGGTGGGATGGATGCATGTTGGAAATAGCTTGATGAGAGCCTCCCATTGGGATGGGGGGGGGGGGGGGGATTGTGAACAGCATTGACCGGCTAAATGGATACGCCAAGATCCTGTGCGTTGATGAATGCATGATGGGATGGGTGCATGGTGGGATGGGTGGGTGCATGGTGGGATGGGTGGGTGCATGGTGGGATGGGTGGGTGTATGGTGGTCGTCGCCGCCGCTCCTCCTTCCCGCCGTGATTGCGCCTTCCTCGCCTGCGGATTCCACCGCCGCAACCGCATCGCCACTGTCCCCTCCTCCCGCCGCCGCAACTCCACGTCGCCGCCTGCCCACTCCGCCGCCGCAACTACTCCGTCGCCGCCTCCCCTTCCCGCCGCCGTGCCTGCTTCGGCGCCGCCTGCGCATCCCGCCGCCGCGACTGCTCGTCGCCGCCTGCCCGTCCCGCCGCCGCGACTTCGCCGTCGCCGCCTGCGATCCCCGCCGCCGCGACTGCACCGTCGTCGCCTGCGGTTTCCGCCGCCGCGACTGCGCCATCGCCACCGGCGCATCCAGCCGCCGTGACTGCACCATCGTCGCCCGCGGTTTCCGCCGCCGCGACTGCGCCGTCGCCGCCTGCAATTCCCGCCGCCGCGACTGCGCTTGTCGCCGCCTGCGTTTCCCGCTGCCGCAACTGCGCTCGTTGCCGCCTGCGTTTCCCGCCGCCGCGACCGCGCTTGTCGCCGCCTGCGTTTCCCGCCGCCGCGACTGCGCTCATCGCCGCCTGCGTTTCCCGCCGCCGCGACTGCGCTCGTCGCCGCCTGTTGTACCCGCCGCCGTGACTGCCCTGTCGCCGCCTGCATATTCCGCCGCCACTGCACCCTCCTCCTCCCCACCGCTCACTTCCCGCCATTGCAGCCGCAGCCGCAACTGCACCCTCCCTTCCCCCCTCTCCTTCCTCCTCTCCCTCTCCCCCTCCTCAGCAGCAGCAGCAGCAGCAGCAAGCGGTGGAGTGCAGCAACAGCACCTGCACTCTCCCTTCCCCCTCCTCTCCCCCCCCCCCCTCCTCTCCCCCCCCCCCCCTCCTCTCCTCAGCAGCAGCAGCAGCAGCAGCAAGCGGTGGAGTCCTGCACGTCGCCGTCACGACCAATTTCGCCGCCGCGGCCATTCCACTGCCGCCTGCGCCTCTCATCGTCGCGGCCCCCGACTTTGCCACCGCCTCCCTTTCCCCCCCGCCCCCCCCTGTACCTTGAACGCCACTGCCCCCCACCGCCGTCTCCCTCCTCCTTTACCCCTCCTCCCCCCCCCCTCCTGTCAGTGGCAGCAGCAGCGGCAGCAGGGAAAATGCAGCAGCCTCAGCAACATCACCTTCACCCTTGGCCGCCGCGGGTCCACCCACCGTCGCCCATCATGGCTGCTACCCCCCCTGCCCCTCTCCCCCCTCCTCGCTGGCGCAGTGTTACCCCTCGCCCCTCCCTCATGCACACTCCGACCCTCCCCTCCTTCCTCCCTGCTCACCTCCGCCTGCTCACCTCCTCCCCCCCTCCACAACTGCAGCGTTTCCAGCAGCTCCAGCAGCAGCAGCAGTGCTTCCAGCAGCAGCAGCAGCCACAATTTCTCCAGCCGCACCCCCCACAGTTCCTCCAGCCGCAGCAATCGCATCAGCGGCAGTTCTTCCAACAGCTGAAGCAGCCACCATCTCTCCAGCCTCACCCGCCACAGTTTCTCCAGCCGCAGCAGCAGCCACAGTTTCTTCAGCCGCAGCAGCCGCCACAGTCTCTCCTGCCGCAACCGCCACAGTCTCGGCAGCAGCAGCACTTTGAGTAGCAGCACCCGCCGCTGTATCCCTCTTCTATCCATGAAACGTTTCTCCAGTACTCTGTGTCACCTCCCTCTCCTTCCTCCCCCACTCTGGACTTTGTCCTTGACAGTGGGGCCACCGAAACTGCACTGAAAGACGTTGGCACCCTCAACCCCCTCCCGCTTCCCACCCAGGTTCATGGTGCCGACTCCAGCTTTTCCATCCCCTGCACTCACCTCTCCACCCTTCCCTGCACCGCTTTCCCATCCGGTACAGTCACAGGTCTCCACATCCCTACCCTTCGCAATCACCTCCTCTCCCACCGTGAGCTCCAAGGTGTTGGTATTACCGTCATTTACCCTGGCTTTACTTCCTACTGTGATCTCTACCGCACCGCCTCTGGTCCCTTCCTCCTGCGCATTCCCCTTTGCCCTTGCACTCGCCTTCACACGCTCCGCACACCCCGTCCCTCTTTTTGTCACGTCACCACTCGTGCTGGTACTTCCACCGGTCCCCTTCTCACTCCCCCTCCCCCCCCCTTTCTCCCTCCCCCTCCGGCATCCTCCTCCTCTACTCCATCCACCTCCTCCAACCCCCCCACCTCTTCCCCCACCCCATCCCCCTCCTCCTCTACAGCCCTCTCCCACCCTTCAGTGCTCCTGCATCACAGACTCGGCCATCCCAACTTCGCTGCACTTCGCTCCACCGTCACTTCTCGCCTCCTTAACAGCCTTCCTCCCACATTACCTCCCCTCCCCTCCTCCCCTGCTCCTTCGTGCGCATCTTGCATTCATGGCAAACTCAAACAGTCTTCCCACCACAGTCATCCCACCTTCGCTGCCGCCCCCATTGACCTTGTTCACATGGATCTCTGGGGCCCTTATCCCATCCGCTCCCGTCAGGGGCACCAATACATGCTCGTCCTCGTTCACGACGACAGTCGGTACTCCATCGTCTTCTTTCTTCACACGAAAGACCAGGTGCCTGTTGTGGTTATCAATTGGGCTGAGCAGTGCCGCACTCACTTCAAACGCCCCATCGGCCGCCTTCACTCTGACGGTGGCGGTGAGTTCATCAATCATACACTCTCCACTTACTGCAAAAAGTACGGCATTCGGCAGACCTCCACCCTCCCCCACTCCTCTCAGCAAAATGGCATCGATGAGAGCCGCATTCGTGAGATCACCAAGATTGCTCGATGTCTCATTGCTCATGCCTCCACCCCTTCTTCCCTCTGGAGCTATGCTCTCCTTCATGCCGCCCTCCTCGTCAATCTCCGCTCCCACCCTCAGCATCCCTCCTCCTCCCCCACAGAACTTTGGTCCAAGACCAAGCCTGATGCTGCCGGCCTTCGTGTTTGGGGCTGCAAGGCGCTCGTCCTTATTCCACCGGCCAACCGCTCCTGCGCTGCTGGCAAGCTCGCTCCTCGTGCCCTGGATTGCGTCTACCTCGGGCACAATTGTGATTCCTCAGGCTACCTGTTCCTTCACCCTCCCACCAATCGCCTCATCCGCAGCATTGACGTCGTCTTCGACGAGTCCATTCCTACTTCTCCACTCCTCCTCTTGACCCTCTCCCTCCTCCCACTCGCCCCCTCGTTTGGACCGACACCGTCCTCCTGCCTCTTCTCCCTCCAGCAGCAGCAGCAGCAACAGCAGCAGGAGGGGCAGCAGCAGGGGCAGTAGCGGGGGCAGCAGCAGCAGCAGCAGCAGCAGCAGCAGCAGGCGCAGCAGCAGCAGCAGCAGCAGGCGCAGCAGCAGCAGCAGCAGCAGCCGGGCCAGCAGCAGCCGTGGCAGTAGCAGCAGCAACAGCCGGGGCGGCAGCAGCAGCAGCAGCCGGGGCAGCAGCAGCAGCAGCGCCAGCAGCAGCAGCAGCAGCAGCAGCAGCGGCAGCCAGGCCAGCAGCAGCAACAGCAGCATCGGGGGCAGCACTTGCAGCAGCACCAGCAGTAGCAGCAACAACGCGCAACTTCCCGCTCCTCCCCCTTTCTCCTCCCTCGCATGCACACCCGCTCCCTGGACCGTATCCTTGGTACCCCTCCTCCTGCCTCCATTCAGCTCCTTGAGGATTCTCATGAAGAGTTCCTCAACATTCAGCAGCACACTCCTTTCCTTGCCTCTCTCTACCTTGACTTCCACGGCTTTCCCGTCCTTGGCGCCACCTTTACCCCCACCATCTTCACTCCCACCATTTTCTAAGAGGCCATCACGTGCCCTGACACGGACAAATGGATAGCGGTGATCTTTCAGGAGTGTGAGGTATTTATCCGCAACGACTCCTTCCTCGACGTCCCCCTCCCCGCCGACGCCAACCTAGTCGAGGGCAAGTGGGTCTTTCGGGTGAAGCAGTTGCCGGGCGAAGAGCCGGTCTACAAGGCACGCTATTGCGCCAAGGGTTTCACACAAACATTTGGGGAGGATTTCTGGGCCACCTATGCCCCCACTGCCAAGCCACCCACCCTTCGCGCAGCCCTCGACAGTGGTGCGTGTGACGACATGGAGATCGAGTCCATGGACGTCTCCAACGCGTTCCTGCAGGGCGACCTGCACGAACGCATTTCCCTTCGGCTCCCCCCTGGGTTCCACGCCTCCTTCCCTGTGCATACTGTTTGGCAGCTGCGTCGCCCTGTCTACGGCTTGAAGCAGGCACCACGTGAGTGGCATGCAAAGCTGGCTGCCACCTTGGGGTCCCTCGGCTTCTCTGCTTCGCACTCTGACGCCAGCCTCTTTATTCGCTCCTCCCCTCGCCGCTTCTTTATTCTGGTGTATGTGGACGACATGATCCTGCTTTCTGACTCCAAGGCAGACATGGAGCAGATGAAGCTGTCCCTGCAGCAGCGTCTCAAATGCGAAGACCTTAGCGCCCTCACTCATTTTCTGGGCATGGCCATCACGCGCAACCGCCCTGCTCGCACCATCACCCTCTCCCACTACATCGGCCAGGTCTTGGAGAAGTTCGACATGGCGCAGGCCAAGCCCGTCTCCACCCCCCTCCCTTTCGGCCACTAGCTCGCTCCACCCACTTCTCCCACCTCCTCCTCTCACCCCTATGCCGAGCTCGTTGGGTCGTTGATGTACGCGATGATGTGCATTCGCCCCGACCTCGCCCACCCCATCAGCGTGCTCGCTCGCTTCGTTGGCACTGGGCGCAAGCATGCTACCGGGCGCAAGCATGCTATCGGGCGCAAGCATGCGTCCGGGCGCAAGCATGCGTCCGGGCGCAAGCATGCTACCGGGCGCAAGCACACTGGAAAGCCGCCAAGCGGGTCCTCCGCTACCTTCGAGGGACCAAGAACCATGCCCTCACCCTTGGCGGCCCTTCCCCTCCTCTCCTCTCCGGCTTCAGTGATTCCTCCTGGGCTGACTCGCAGCCGGACCGCCGCTCCTCCCAGGGCTACGGCTTCACCCTTGGCAGCGGCCTTATCAGCTGGCGCTCCACCCGCTCCTCCGCCATCTCTCTCTC